ATTATATATAGGCCTAAATAACCGTTGAAGTCGAGTGCCATTATACCTAAATAATGACATCGTAGGAAGCATGGTTTATAAATAATTCGTTATGCAAATTACGAAGTAATAAATATTCACCAGTGCTCTAAAGTTACAATTCGGTCCTATTCACCTATCGACAATGGCAAAGCAAGGTATACAGCAGATTATTGAATCCAGTGGTGGCGCCAATAATAATAATAATAATAATAATAATAATAAAATAAATTATAATAATAAATAATAAATAATAATAATAATAGTTCAATGACACTAATTTAAAATATTTTGCGTTCTGTTAGGACAAATGCTCGTTTGGGTAGCCTCATGATGCTTGGAATACATTGCGATAGGGGAGGCAACCTCGACCTTGACATCGTGGTTGACAGATTTCGTGCAAAATTTCCATAATGTAGAATTTCACTTTAAAGAAAGAGGATTTGTAAGGAAATTAGATGGTTGCATTGCAAACTCTTTGTTTCTTGTTTTATTCAAAATGTTTTGGTTTTTGAAACTGATTTCGACATTAGAAAACATAGCCTACATGAAGTCATATTATAGTAGCTCGATGCCTATCAAAAAAGTAATAAAAATTCGCCATAATTCGTCAAATATCCGTGGCTGCCTGGAACCCCACCGCAGTAGCATAAGCAAGAATTTAGTCTAATGAAACTCGTTTATCTTGATACCTTCCGACGAAAATATCACCGAAAAAATATATAAAACGACAATTGAATGACCAACAAAGACAACTGAAGACAAAAGGTGGTCATTAGAAGTTATTTAGTATAACTTTATTCGGAAAATTAAGTCAAGTTGCCGTCCCCGGCGTTGTCAGTGACGTCGTATGATTTGTGTGCGATTTTTACCAATGAACCCCTAAGTAAAAAATAATTGAGCCATGTAGTACCTTGCAAATCAATCCAGAAGCCTGGTAGTTTGTTGATTGTTTATTGGTAGCGTCCTCGCTGCCAAAAATAGTTTTTTGGCATGCAGTTGCGTCCCCGGTTACATCGTGAGGGCATGGTGAAGGCTGGTTACAATTTGGTGGCACATCGATTAAGTATTTTCATTCATCTGGCCATGTAAGTCAGTGGCGTATCTAGATGTCTTGAAATGGGGGGTTGCGAAGCTGAAGTGGGGGGGGGGGGGACTCGATGATCAGTTGAGGGGCGCTAATTCGGAAAATAAGGTGATTTTAGGTGATGTTTAACTACTTGACCGTGATTTGAAACCAGTGTCAGTATAATAGGTAAGCATGTGGTTAACTTAAGCAAGAATTTATTCCAATGAAACTGTTTATAATCTTGATACCTTCCGACAAAAATTGACCCTACCGGCGTCCCCACCGATCGTTCTAACGTGACGTTGTTATGTGGGTGTTTTATAGACTATAGAGAATAGTAATATCACCGAAAAAATAGATAAAATGACAGTTGAATGACCAAGTCAGTTGCGTCCCATTGACATCCCCTTTTCAAATGTTAAAAAATAACCAACATAAATTTTAAGTATTAAAGTGCCATTCTCCAACTTTATCTCAATGCAGCCACACACATGACGGGGCTCAGGTGGATATAGTAATTTTCCTATGTATGACATTGCCATTTTCCGGCATCAAAATTCCCCATTTTTTAACATTTTCTCATCTCCATGATGGGGATAGGCCTTTGTGGATATAGTAATTTTTGTTGTTTTTATGTATTTGCCATTTTCCTGCATCTAAAAGTCTCTAATTCTTAAAATTGTTTTTCCTCAGCCTCAACAATGGTGGCCTGAGATAGATGGATTAAAGTTTTCATAAATTTTAAGTATCCGAGTGTTGTTTGGGGCATCTATAAAGTCTCAAATTCTTGCAATTGACTCATCTGCGCCCCAAAACCATGGAGGGGCTCAGGTAGGTGGATATCGTAAATTTTGTACTATTCAAGTGCTTTTTTGTGCATCTAACGAGAGGCTCAACTTCTCAAAGTGTTCTCACCTGAGCCGCAACCATAGTGGGGCTCAGTTGAATATGGTAGTTTTTAGAATAGTAAGTATTTAAATTTCATTTTCGGGTACCTAATTAATTAATTGGGGGTGTTTTTTTTACTCAATTTGTCAAAAACATTATTATTTATTAGGTAATGTAAGTTCCATTTTGGTTCATCCAGTGGTATAAAATACTGAAATGTTTGCGTCACCGCCAACCACGATGGTACTGACGTGATGTGGACTCTCATTACATCAGCACCCCCTTCTTTAAAATATGGATACGCCACTTCGCTGAAAACAATAGTTAAGATAAATATATTTCCATTCGTTTTGTTGTTCATGTAAATGTCTGATAGGTTACTTTAAAACAATGCTAAAAACACAGTGTCATTACGAACATTTACATGTAAGACTGAGCTGAGCGACTCCGAATTAAGGTGGAATTAGTAGTAGTTATGTGACGTTTGTCATGCACTGTATTATGCGCTATAGAAATGGAAGACCATAATGTAATGGGAATGAACGTCTCTGGCTAGTGTGGATTTAAACAATGTCCTAATGGCAATGTTCAAAATAAATGTAAATCAAATAAATATATAACTGTTGGGGTGAGAGGGGTGTATCTTTGTAGTTAGGCAGTTATATACTGTCTAAATTTATGTCTAAACAAACTTTAATTTTAACACCGGGTCTCCATTTTAAAAGCTCCTAAGAGTTTCGTGGAGGTCCTTTTCGTCGCTCTGTTTTTGAATATGTATGGTTGAGTTTACTTTGTCATGAATTGCAAAGAACATGAATAAAGAAATAAAATGAAAAATGTAAAAAATATGTCTATGTGCGTACAACAACCAGATTATAGAATTTTCTAATAGATCAATAACTTTCCAATGATAACCACATGAACCGCATTACTCCACCAAATTTTAGAAACAATAGCAGTATTGTACAAATAAACGGCATCATACTTTTTATGTTAATCATCTATTATTTTGGCGCACATTGATAGTACAGTGCTCCTATCATTCCTATCATTATCAAAATCGAACGCACAATGAACAGATCATAATTATGCCTATACAAAAAAAAAAAAAATATTAGATCATTACTCCAGCCCGCGTCAACAAAATTGGGAAATATTGATGCGGAAATGTTAAAAAATGTTTCTTTTCCTTGGCCGCATCATTTTTTCAACAGCATACAAAAACAATGAAATTTTGTGATTGGAAATACGTTTTCTTTAAAAAACAATAACAATTAAACCTGTTTTTATACAATATTCTTGCCAAATAAAAAAGTCCCTCTCTCATCTATTAAAAGAAGCAGTTGTTCTGATTTTAAAAAAATAGTGATCTAATAATTTTTCCTATGTGCCCTAAATTGGCTATAGTGGGACACAGTGATAAACTATAAATATCTTGTTTAATATTTTTTTAAAAAAATCCTATTCTTTTTCATTGTGTCCAATGGTTGCCAAATTGGCTATAGTGAGACAAAGTGATGAAGTACAACTGTCTTCTTTATATTTTCTAAGTTAATCCTTTTCTTTTTCATTGTGTTCAATGGCTGCTAAGAGCACAAAGAAAAAAATTATTAGATTATCACTCTTTAAAAAAAAAGGGAGGGCGGTTTTTGTTTGTTTGTTTTTTTTTTAATCAGAACAATTAGTTTTT